GGCCTGGAGGGCGGGGCGCCGGGCGGGGCTCCGGGATGCAGACTCCGGGAGCGCCGGGAGACAAAGACAAAGAGAGGGTCCCAGAATGGAAGACCGAGGAGAGGCGCGGGGAGCGCACCGGACTCCGGCCGAAGCGAAGGAAGAGATGGGGCTGGTGGGGGCATCCGAAAGAACTGGGGGTGCCCCGGGGGCTCCAGTCTGCGTACCGCTCCTCTTCCATGCTCTTCCCATGCGGGAAGAGACTCGAGTGGAGAAGGACCTGAGGGACTGCTTGGGGACGTCTAGGCCGACTTGCCGAAATTCAGCGTTCGCGCCCCATTCTCCCCTACCCCCTGCTCCATGGGACTGTCCCCAGCCCCGCCCGCACTCAGGAAGTTCTCTGTCCTTGATCCGATCTGCTCCAGAAGGCGTGCCGGTCGGTCTTGCACAATAGCTATAGGATGGCGGGGTGGGGAGCAGGGAGGGCCGGGCACACCTGCACCCGGCTAGGCAGACATCACTCAGGTTCAGCCCGTGCGCATTCATCCTGGAGGTGGCTTGTGGGACAGGCCAAATCAGAACTGGGAAAAGGGATGATAGCAGGGTGCAGGTTGCAAAAGACTGTCAGAATCAAAACGCAGGGACCAGCATGGACTTTGAGTTCAGCCTGTGGGGCTGGACATGGATGCCTGAGGGGTACAAGAGAAGTGTGTTTCTGTCTCGAGCTGGGAGGGGAGACAGGTTAATAACTGGGACCCCCAAATCATGGACCTAGGTGGCAGAGGCCTTCCTTGGCAGCTGATGCTCAGCTGTCCTGTCCTGAACCCAACATACCATCCAGTTCCTGCTTCCTTACGCCTGGGGACTGAGTACACACCAGTCCACATCCCAACCAGTTCCTGGACAGCTCTTAGGGTAACAAGAAGACAGCATGTCAGCAGACGTCCCACATGGTAGCTATGGAATTGATGGAAGCCAGGCAGACCCGCATTGGTCTATTCAGTCACTTACCAGACATTGGGCCAAGAGCCCATGGTCACCTGTGCCCCAGGCCCTCTGGGAGCTGCAAGAGGTGAAAAGACAAAGAAGCCCAAGCTGCCCCACCCTCCATGACCCCATGCAAGTGGCATTACCTCTCAACCTCAGTTTCCTCATCTGTCAAATGAGAATAATAACACTTTGTTGGGAGGATTAAAGGACGTAGCAAGTACCTGGCACCCAGCCAGTCATCTTTCACTGAACAGAACCTGCCATTCTGTCATGCGTCCTGGGCTGGCCTTCGAGAACATAGAGAAGCTTCAGGAAGGAGCAGAACAGTCTGTTTTGAGGAAAATCACAGAGGGAGCAGCACCAGAGCTAGAAGTTAGGAAATGAGAATTTCAGGCCAGCAGACAGCATGGTGGTTGAGGCACTGGACTCCCACATGACCGACCATGATCCAGGTCCTGGACCTGGTGGCTTGAAACTCACAACTGGGGGGAACCAGCAGTTAGCATAATGGCTATGTCGCTGGACTCCCACGTAGTAGACCACGGTTCGCGTCTCAGACCCAGTGGCTTAAAACTCATGCTGGGCGCATGTGCATGCATGCTCAAGATCCCAGGAGGAGAATGGAGGAGAAGGGATTGCGTCGTGACCATCCCCCCCGGGGGGTGATTTCTCGCTTTCTGTCTCTATGTCTCTCTCTGTCTGTCTGGCAAGCACATGTGCCCTGTAGCAAAAACCTCTCAAAAAAAAAAGAAAGAAAAGAAAAGAAACTCACAACTGGCACATACACATGCATGCCCAAGATTCCAAGAAGAGAAGGGATTGCAGCATGGCCATCCCCTCTAGGGAGTGATTTCTCGCTTTCTGTCTTTCTGTCTCTCCAGCAAGTGCACGCACCCTATAACAAAAATCTCTCAAAAAAAAAGAGAGAGGATAGGGTGACAGGTGGAGTGTGGGATGTTATCTAGGAAACTGACCTGATTGGCAAAATGGAGCGTACTCCATGAAGATTCAGGAACAGTGTCCGTTTATCAAGGGTCTTCAAAGAGTTCATGGGAAATGCACATTGTAAAAAAACAAAACAAAGCAAAAAAACAATTGCACGTGGATTTCAAAGTTTTTTCCACACCCAAATAAACGTGTGCTTTAATTTCATTTTTCCACAAACTCTTTGAAGTCCTGGCATCATGTGCCACATGTCAGGTGACACACCAAGGGCCTCCCCTGCCTCCTCCATCCTTACAATGTCTGGGGGAAGAATGAAGAATGATCGGGAACCAGCAGTTGGCGTAATGGCTATGTCGCTGGACTCCCACATAATTGACCGTGGTTCACGTCCCGGACCCGGTGGCTTATAAACTCACGCCGGGCGCGTGTGCGTGTGTGCCCAAGATCCCGAGAGGAGAATGGAGGAGAAGGGATTGCGGCGTGACCATCCCCCCTGGGGGGTGACT